GCCATTGTTTCTGCTCTGCATGTGATGTATGCTGATGACTCTAGTGTGCTTCCCGCCTATTACTCACTGTTGCCTAGTGTAGGTGAGCCTAGCTTAGCCTCCCCTGCTGCGTCAGGCGTAGGATCCCCTGCTTTGTGTAGTCTTGGTGCTTCCGCCGTCGTTCCGTCGCCAGACGCCTCTGCTTCGCTTTCCTTCACCTTGGACTCTGGCGCTTCTCGCTGTTTCTTCCGCGACTCCACCACCCTGACGCCGCTTCCTGTTCCAGCTGCCGTTTCTCTTGCTGAACCCTCCAGCGGTCCGGTAGTCGCCCGCAGTTCCACCACCCTTCCCTGTCCGGCGGTTCCTTCGGGCACTCTCACAGGTCTGCATATCCCCTCGTTCTCCAGGAACCTAGTTGGTGTCAGCTGCCTCCAGGACCTTGGCGTCACCACTACGTTCCCTGGTCAAGAACGGTATGCTGTCTATACCGAGGCCGCCACTGGTGCCCCCCTGTCCACGTTCCCCCGGGACCCGGTGTCCGGCCTGTTCACTCTGGACATCGTGACCCCCCCGGCTGGAGCGCTCACCCAGGTTGCTGCTGCCTGCTCCTGTCGGTCCCTCACTCACCCGACCCTCCTTTGGCACCACCGCCTAGGTCACCCTGCACTCCCGCGTCTGCGTCACATGTCCCAGCACGGTCTTGTCCTTGGTCTTCCAGGTTCCCTCCCCGCGTTTCCCTCCTCCCCAGCCCCACCTTGCACACCTTGTGTCGAGGGTCGGCTTCGCCGTGCCCCTCACTCCTCCTCGTTTCCCCCTACTGCCGCGCCGCTGCAGACCCTGCACCTGGACGTCTGGGGCCCCGCCCCCGTCCCTGGGCCGCGTCGCGAGCGCTACTTCCTTGTGCTTGTCGACGACTTCACTCGTTACACCACGGTCTTTCTCCTGGAGCGCAAGGCCGACGTGCCTGGAGCTCTCATCCCCTGGCTTGTCTCTGCGCGTGTCCACCGCGGTCTCCCTGTCTTGCGTCTTCACTCAGACCGTGGTGGTGAGTTTGCCTCAGGTGTCCTTGGTCGCTTTTGTCGTGCGGAGGGCATCACCCAGACGTTCACCCTACCGGACTCCCCACAGCAGAATGGGGTCGCTGAGCGACGCATGGGTTTGGTCATGGAGGTGGCTCGCACCTCCATGATCCATGCCGGTGCACCCCATTTTCTGTGGCCGTTCGCTGTGCGCTACGCTTCTCACCAGCTTAACTTGTGGCCGCACCCTCAGCAGCCGCACGTTTCGCCGACCCGTCTTTGGACTGGGTCTCCTGGTGACGCGTCTGCGTTTCACGTCTGGGGCTGCCTTGCTCACGTCCGTGCCTCCGGCACGGACAAGCTCACTGCCCGCACCCTTCCCTGCGTCTTCCTCGGTTTTCCCCTTGACGTGTCCGACTGGCACTTTTACCACCCGCTGTCTCACCGCTTCTTTCACTCTCGCGACGTCACCTTTGACGAGTCCGTCTCTTACTACCGTCGCTTCCCCCACCGCGGTCCCCCGGTTACCCCCCCCCTGTTCCAGGTCACTCCTTCCCCGGTAGTCCCTGCCCCTCCCCCTCCTCCTCCCCGTCCTGCCCCCTCTGGTGTGTCCCACGTCACCCCCCTTCCGTCGGTGGACCCGGTTGAGGAGTCTTCTGACTCTGGTGGCCCTCCTGTTCAGTCCTCGCCGGCCGCCCCTCCCCTGGCGTCCCCTCCCCAGTCCCCCCCTCCACCGCCTCTGCCGCCGCCGCCGCCGCCGCCGCCGTCGCCGCACCCGTTCGCTGACTCTGGGGGTGCTCGTCCCAGTAGCCCTGGGGGTGGTCCCTCTGGGGGTGCTGGTGTGGAGAGTGCCGGTGGTAGCCGAGGAGCAGCTTGCGGTCCCGGTGTCGCCGTTGTGCCGCCGCAGCAGCACTCCCCGCCGGTGTCAGCCCTTCGCCTGCTCGGTCTTCCGTCCCCCGACCCTGCGTCGGTTCCTCCCCGACCGTCTCCTCCTCTTCCTGTCTACGGCCCTGTCTTCCCTCCGCCGGACTCGTCCCCTGCCCGTCTCCCCCCTCGTTCCCCTCCTGTGTCCCCTCCTTTGTCTCCTGACCCGACTCCTCCGTCGCACGTCTGGTCTCACCGTCCCTCCCGTGCTCGTCCTGCCTCGCCTGTCTTGCGCTCCCACCCTATGTTGCTACGTTCCCACGCGTCTCGTCCTCCCCTTCTGCCGTCGCCTCCTCCGTCCTCCCTTGTTGTTGCACCCCCCCCGCTGTCTGACTACCTTCGTGCCGCTCGTCCCCTTGTTCCTCAGGTCCTTGCCTCTCTCGTTACTGACCCGTCTGTTCCGGCCTCGTGCCTTGCCGCTCTTGTCGCTTCTATCGCTGACTTCGCCTCTACCCGCCGCCTTGACTACGCCTCCGCTCTGGTCTCTGACCCTGCCTGTCCTCCGTCTGTCGGGGGTGCTCCTACCCTTGGCAGTGACGTCCTGGAGGACCGCCAGTTCGAGCTTGCTTTCCTGTCCAAGGCTGCTCCCCATCTCTGTTCCATGCTGCTAGTCCCTGAGGGTGACCCAGACGCTTTTGACATCCCGACCCCTCGCACTTACGCTGAGGCGACTTCGGGACCCTGGGCCTCGCAGTGGATAGCTGCCATGGAGCAGGAGATGGCATCTTGGAGATCCACCGGCACCTTCGTCGACGCAGTTCCCCCACCTGGGGTGAACGTAGTCGATGGCCGCTGGCTCTTCAAGGTGAAGCGCCCTCCTGGAGAGCCGCCTGTCTTCAAGGCGCGCTATGTGGCTAGAGGCTTCAGTCAGCGTGAGGGGGTAGACTTCTTCCAGACCTTCGCTCCGACCCCGAAGATGACTACTCTTCGGGTTCTGTTACACCTAGCTGCTCAGCGTGACTACGAGCTCCACTCCCTCGACTTCTCCACTGCCTTCCTTCAGGGCAGCCTACACGAGGAGGTCTACTTGCGTCGTCCTCAGGGCTTTACTGGTACCTTCCCTCCTGGGACCTAGTGGCTCCTGCGGCGCCCCGTCTACGGCCTGCGCCAGGCTCCCCGTGAGTGGCACGACACTCTCCGTGCTACGCTTGCTGACCTCCAGTTCTTTCCGTCTTCCGCAGACCCTTCACTCTTCGTTCGTGCTGGCCAGACTCCGTTCTACATCCTTGTTTACGTCGACGACCTGGTCTTGGCCACAGCAGACAGGGACGCACTGGCCTCTGTGAAGGCAGAGCTGCTGAAGAGACACACTTGCACTGACCTTGGAGAACTGCGCCGTTACCTTGGCTTGCAGATCTCGAGGGACAGAGCAGCGCGCACCATCACCCTGACTCAGTCACACCTGGTGCGCCAGGTCCTTCAGAGGTTCAGCCTTCAGTTCTCCTCTGCACAGCCCACCCCTCTGCCTGTAGACCACAGGCTCTCCGCTCCAGTGCCTGAGGAGTTGGTAGAGCCCAGCGGCCCCTACGCAGAGCTGGTGGGTTGCCTCATGTACCTGATGACTTGCACTCGCCCAGATCTCGCATACCCTCTCAGCATCCTGGCTCGCTTTGTGGCCACAGGCAGACACCGACCGCAGCACTGGTCTGCCGCTAAAAGGGTTCTGCGTTATCTTGCAAGTACATCGGGCATGGGGTTAGTGCTAGGAGGACGCAGGCCAGTGGTCCTTACTGGACACACAGACGCTTCGTGGGCAGACGACACTGAGACACTCAGGTCTACCCAGGGCTACTGCTTCAGCCTTGGCTCAGGTGCCGTCTCGTGGAGAGCTACCCGCTCCTCGTCTGTTGCGCAGTCCAGCTGTGAAGCTGAGATCTACGCTGGTGCCATGGCGGCACAGGAGCTCCGCTGGCTGACCTTCTTGCTCACTGACTTAGGTGAGCGTCCTAGCTCTGCCCCGGTCCTGTTCGCTGACAACAGGGCCATGATCCTCCTGTGTCAAGAGCCTCGACTCGAGGGCAGAGCAAAGCACATTCAGCCGCGGTACTTCCTCCTGCGTGAGCTACAGCAGCGACGTCAGGCTCGCGTAGTACACTTGGCCTCAGGTGCCAACACGGCTGATATCTTTACGAAGGCGCTTGCGCCTAAAGATCATTAGCGGCACTGTGTACAGCTTGGTCTAGTTCCTGTAGCCTCTCACTTGCTAGGACCTTGACTTTGTACTGTCCGTTATACGTATACTCAGACAGGACTTGTGTCCTCTCCCAGTGGCTGGACTAGTAGTGCCGCCCTGCTCTTGTTCTTGCCTTGTCTGTACTCCTTCTGACTGGTCTCTCATACCCTTGTCTCAGAGGTTGGACTAGTAGTGCCGCCCTGAGCTGCTTGTTCAGGACATTCCCCTATGTAGTCTAGGTGGTGTGTCAAACATGTGTATTTGTCATGTTTGTATAGACTGTATAGGGTAGCCTCTTAGAGGGTACAACACTTAGGTATATCTGTGTGTACTCACTCTATCAACACACTTCTCTAATTCTGATACGAACGTCCCTGGAAAACAGCTCGGTGCCCCTAGCATAGATAGAGAATTACCCGGTACAAGTCTACGTCCAGTCACGCAATGTGCGGGACATCGGCAGTCTTAACTAAGACCATACATTGGAGAGGGGAGGGTGTAAGGAAATGGTATTTCCTTATCACGGGTTTTATTCAGTAAGGCGTATACTGCTATAACGGGGTTGCTGCGCAGTTCTGTCACCAAATTCAAATCATGGTACCAAATGTGGTCTCCTGACGAGCCGCATGCAATTTGCCCGCCTTGCTGTTGCATGCCTAGATCTGGGCTCTTCGTGCCATTTTACGAACCACACGTCGCAGCTCTGCCAAGCCACGACCGTGTGCTCCTAGGCTAGCTATATCCATGCTCCTTGGTGTTTTGATGTTGCTCAGTTGTGTTGTTTCCTCGATCACCAATGCTTCTACACACGCTGCTTATCCATCAATCACTTGCTTAGCAGTCAATTTTTTCTGTAAACGTTAGCGATCGAGGTTTCGGGTTCAAGAAATTCAACTCTCGCCACGCCAACAACCTTCTCCACGCATCCTTGCTGTCGTTGGCACGAGCGTTGCGGTGTGGTGCAGTGCAGGCCGCAAAAAGCTGCCCACAAGCAAGGACAGCAAGCCTGATTCCCGCTCCAGTAGCCATCAAACTGCCAATTTCTGTTAGGAGCTACAGTGTTATTGTAGGTGCTCTTTATGGAAAGCCAGAACGAGGCGCTCATTAGGTGGCACTGCCTGTGGCGGGAGTCGAAGGAGTACGTACCAGCACTTTCCTGTACCGAACCAGCTCCGTCTCCCTCAAGCTGGCTCAAGGTATGCGCATCAGAAACGCGGCCGCCCCTTCAGCATTCCCATTTTGCGCACCTGGCAGGTGTCCGCAATCATCGCGCGCTCGGCGCATGCCCAGCAGCATTCCCGTTGCACGCTCCTGGCATGCTCACCTCCCTTATCGTACGATGTTGCTACACCAATATTAGCCTTCTCGAAGTAAAATGCACACGCGCAGCAACTACAAGTGACGATGACAGCCACTTGCTCGTCCTGCCACTCGGCTCACTTCCAGCCGGGTCGTACGTGCGGCCATCATCGCTCCTTATTGCACACGCTACCCCTCTCGCTCTCACTCCCTCTCTTCTCCCCGCGATCACCTCCCTTCCCCGTTTCCCATGTCCTCTCGCACCCTCTTTCCTGCCGTCCGACGCTTCTCTACCGCGTCACAGGCCCCCTCTCGCACCCCGCACACGAGGCGGTTCGGCAACGGAACATCGTAGCAATGGCGCGAGATAGGGGTGGTGCCAGACCGAGACACATGGCGTCGAGTGGATGGGCCATCGGGAATCGCGGCGGAAGTGTTGCTGCCCGCGGCAATCCCAAGGGCCGCGCTGAGAGGCGGCGGCCGAACATCGCGCTTCACAGCGTTGCTCGCGCCGCAAACAGCGGCGGGCACAGCATTGGAGAGGGGCGGAGGACAGCCACAGAGGAGCAGCACGGCGGCTGTGGCAAGCAGTTTCAGTGGAGGGGCAGCAGAGGCACAGCCAGCGCGGGTGATAGCAATGATGACGCTGACGATGGCGGTAATGGTAACAGCACACGTGGCGGGTTGGTGCTGGCGGAGATTGCTGCCGCGGCGTGAGTGAAGCGAGCTGCTCGAGAGGCGGCAGCGCAGCGCATGGCAGGGGAGCAGCGCATGGCGGGGGAGCAGCGGGGAAGTGCGAGGAAGCAGGGGAGTGGGGCGAGGAGACGGGATGTGGATAAGGCAGCAGGGAAAGATGATGAGCGGTCGTATGGCGAGCACAAGAAGTTGATTGTTATCGAGCAGCACGCGGAGGCTTGTAATAAGAGAGAGTCAAAACCAGATGCGGCAGCAGCAGCAGCAAGAGCAGCAGCAGCGGCAAGAGCAGCAGTAAACGTGAGCAGCGATGGAGAGAAGGAAGAGGAGGTGAGCAGGGACCCAATAGAGCCAGCGGCGATTCCCACAGTGGCTCTGGCGCTGCTGGCGCCGCTGGCTTGCGCGGGGGAGGACGTGGCACACGGCATGTGTGTGAGCAGGGAGTGGCGGCGCTCCCTCACTCACTCCGTGCTCTCCTTCTCCCTCCTCTTCCACCCTCACTCCCTCTCATGGCGCCCCTCCTTCCGTGACCCCGCCTGCCCCTCCCTCACACGCCACTGGAACCCCGCAGCTTTCCAGGCCCCCCTGCTGATGGCAGGGGGAAGTGACAGACAAGGCAACCAGAGAAGAACGCAGGAATTTGCGCTCAGTGTCAGGTGCAGCAGCGAGTACAGGAGCAGATGGGAGTAGGTGGTGTGCTCAGTGGTGCTTCAGTCCGCCATGCCCTTCCCCTGCTCCACCGCACTGCAGCCCGGCAGTGTGGCGGACCGCATGCTCTACTTCTCGCTGCTCTCGCTGCTCACAGCTGTGCTCACCAGCTGAAGGCAGAGCTCAGGGGGCCATCTCTGGCAGCCGGTGCTGCAGCTGAGGTCCCTGCGCACTCTCATTCTCTCCCCCTCCTTCCTTGAGTCAAACTCCGACTTCCCTTACTACTATGTGCCGCCTCTTGGCCTCCTCACTGCACTGCACACCCTACATCTGACCTTGAGTGGCTCGAGAAGGTCGTCATACATGGGTGAGTCCAAGATGCGCTTGTTCGGTAGCAGCTGGTGCAATGAGTCCATCGTATCAGAAAGTCAACGTGACGTTCCGGGCCTTTGATTCGTATGCGATGGCTCAGGATTTTTGCTGATTTGACAAGCGTTTCCTCGGTGTTAGGATTAAGGACGGAGTCTAGGTGAACTTTGGAGCTAGAATTACTAAAAATAGAAATCCGAAATTCTGGACAGAAAAGTCGTCTCCATAAGAAACGTTGTCGACAAAAAACTAGCCTTTGGAATGTCGCGAAACTTGTGTTGGAAATATCTCAAGGACTTAAGCGTTTCTGAAGTGTAACACTGTACTCGAGGAAGATTACAGGGAGCACGCGAGTCAACGGAGGTTACACGAGGGGCGGACAAAGAATGCGAAAGGACTCGAAAGGTCGCAACTGGAGGTTGCGACTGACCGTTACAACATCACGGATGGTAACCGAAGCGGCAATCGAGTCGCTGTGCGACTCGATAAACCGTTCCTGTAACTGTATTCTACAACTGCTTTCTTATCTTCTATATATTGCTGTATGCTTGTTTCTTTAATCAATCACTTGTTCTCACATACTAGTACAAGGGTTCAACTGCCTCAACTTCCGCTGCACTACTCCAAGTCTCAAGTCTCTACAAGCTGGGACTTAGTCTCTGCAAAAGATCCTAAGGCTTTTCTCAGCCCAACATGGTATGAGAGCTGGTCAGAGACCAAACTCCCAGCAACTACACTCCATCAACAACCAGCAACTCAACTTGATTCAACAACTCCATTGATTGCAAGACATGGACAACAAGGGCAAGAAAGTCTCTACGGGCTCACCCAGCGCCCAAGAAACTCAACACGGCAACTCTGGTCTGCACACCTCAGGACTGCAGACTGAGACCGGGACTGCTCAAGAAACAACGGGAAGAGTACCAGAGATGGTGACTCCGTCTCCCTCTTCAAGTGTGGACCCGAATCTCATGGAGAGATTCTTCAGCTTCATGTCACACTTCGACCAGCAGCAGCAGACAAGGACACCTGCGCAATCAACACAGAGCAATGGAGGGAATATGGGATTAGCACCGATGAGCCTCGACAACTCATCCTTCGGGCGACACAACCAAGCGCCTACCTTTGCGCCTTATCATTCTTCGCCGGGGACGTTCGAATTCATGCCGCCCCGTGCCCAGCCAACAGCAGCTGCATCACAACAAACACCGAATGAAATCTTAAGTTTACAGGCGCAGTTCTCACACGTGATCAAACTTCAGACATCCTCACCGTTCAACGGACACGACTTCTTTACCTGGAGCTTCGAGTTCGAGCTGCTGATGGAGGCCGCGCATCTTCTGGGATAGTTCAACGGGTCCCTGCCATTCCCAAGCAACGGCACTGGGAAGGAACAAGAGATTTTCACGTATCAGTCGCTGCTGGCGTACACGGTACTCCTGAGAAACCTGTCACCACAAGAGCAGCAGAGCATCAGAACGTATCGGAGTTATGGAAACTCCGCGGAGCTCGCATGGCACCACCTCAAGTGCCTTTACCAAGCAAACGACAGCGTGACACAAAGCAGACTCATGCAAAAGCTGACAACAATACAGATGAAGACCGGGGAAAAAGCGATGCAGTATATGAGTCGCTGCCAGACCCTCCGCGACCGCCTGCTTCGGTGCGGAGGAACGATCACTGAAGAAAGCTTCGTGACACTTGTCCTCGCCGGGCTCGGGCCAGAATGGAGAACCACACGATCACTTCTTCGAGCCCACGGAAGAATTTCGGAGATGCACCTCTGCGCCGAGCTTCACGCTGAACAACAGGAGATGGATCTGTTCGAGGAAAGACAACCAAGGAAGCAACAGCAGTTAGTCTTCTACACTCAAAGAAGAAATGACAACAACTACAACCGACGCAGCAAGCAAGATCAACGCGACAACCGAGGACTCACCATCGTACCGCCGTTCTGCCACAACTGCCAGACTTCCGGGCACTCCAAAGTCAACTGCAACCGCCCTCGCGTTTACCGTGCAGCAGACCCACAAGTCACTTCCACTCAAGCAAGTCCTCCAAGGCGCTCTTCAACATCTGCACAACAAACACCCAACATCATCAACTGCATGGTACACATCGACAACTGCGCACCCGGTTCACCACCCACTTACGCACCAGACGAAGAGGAATTCCCGCCGCCGCGCTCGCAAGGACTTCAGGTCAACCCGACATACGCTGCAGTCGCCAACGCCGAACCCACCGGGCGAAACACCTGGTTCTTGGACAGCTGCTGCGGTCAACACATGTGCTCCTCGGGACGCTTCGTGCAACAGGAGAAACGACTCAACCGCGACGTCGTCATCACAGTCGCCAACAACGAAAACCTGAAGACAAACAGACAAGGCGTGGTTCAGTTACAATCCATGGAAACAAACGTAATACTGCAGCTCAACAAAGTGCTCATTGTCGACAACCTGGGATACAATCTACTAAGCGTAAGCCAACTAATGGCCAAAGGGATTCACCTGGAGTGCGACTCCTACTCCAACGAGTTCCGGCTTTACCACGGGAAGGGCGGCCTCTTCATCGGTCGTGCCCTCCTGAAGTCCGGTGTCTTCGTGTTGGACTTCGTCCCCGACCGCGGAACTGCCGACAGCGATGGCATCGTATCGTTCGCCGCCTGGACTCACCCGCCGGATCTTGATCCCGACTTCGACAGTGACGGCTTCTGGCACTCCAACACCATACCTGCAGCAGAGAGAACACGAGCATTAGCAGTTATCCGACAAGAAAGACAAGTACCCGCAAGTGTCCCAACAAAACCATCACCTGCAGTATCGGCAGCAGGACCCAGCCGAGCACCACCACCATCAACACGAGGACCGCCAACGGAAGCAGACCAACTTATGCCCGCCACACGAGAAGCTTGTCGAAGTCCCGCCTCGGTCGTCGCGTTCTTCTCCAACGCCGACATCTACCACCGCTCGCCCGGTCACCGTGCTCCCGACGACATCTGGCACCAACGCCTCGGACACCCTGCAAACAGCACAATACTTCAAACAATCCAAGCAGAGGTGTTAGAACGCAACGCCCTTCTGACGACGAGCGGTCCAAGAACTTCGACGACCACGCGCACGGTGCTTCACATGCCCCGAAGCAGATCTTCCTCATCAACCTTTTCCATCCCATCACAACCCAAGCGCACCTACTTACGCTCCGATGGAAAAAGTCTACAGCGATATTTTAAACATGCCTCGAGACGACGCCGAAGCCGACTTTAACTACGTCATCACTTTCATCGACGCCGCAACCAGATATGTCTGGCACTTCAATCTCAAAACGCGCGACCAAGCCTTCGAAGCCTTCACAACATGGCTCCCCATCGCCGAACGAGAATCAGGACTCAAACTCAAGAGCTTCCAGTCAGACGGTGCACTGGAATACCAGTCACAACGCTTCAGGACCTATCTGGCGGAAAGGGGAATCAGACGCCTGGTGTCCCTGCCCTATGCTCACCAACAGCAGGGGGTAGCAGAACGCATGAATCGGACCTTGCAGACGACGATGCGAAAACTGCTTCAGGGGATGCGACTGCCAACCACACTGTGGCCAGACGCGATGACACATGCTGTTCACCTGCACAACCTGCTGTCCTCGTCATCACTTCCCAACAACGCATCACCGCACCTGTTGTGGACAAGAAAAAGGGGCAGCACAAAATTACTCCGCGTTTTCGGCTGCATGGTACAGTACAGACCCCACACAGCCCGAGCAGGACGCTTCTCACAAAGAGCTCGATGGGGACTACACCTCGGCATCGCAAAACATTTTCACGCGTGGAAAATTCTCGACATACAAGACAAAAACACGGTGGCATCACGCGATGTTATCTTCTACGAACGACTGACGCTGCAGCATTACCTGGACAACCTTGCCAACACACAAGACCCCACCGACGGCTTCGCGGGCCTTCGCTCCTTCGCTGACCATACTGCCGAGGCTGACGCAGCAGAAGAAGACGTACCTGGAGCCTCGGAAGCTGCCGGACCACTCCCATTCTGTTCCGTACCTGTTCCACTCGATGAAGATAACCCCTCGATAGCAACAACCTCGACACCTTTTACCACTTCGCCGACCAAGGTTACGCTACACCTCACCCCGTCGACACGAATATTTCGGAACGCATCGGCCCCAATTTCTTACCTGACCCCGAAGACGGTGACGAAGCAGCTTATTCCGGGAATGAAAATTCCCCTCGACACACGCCCACGGGACTCCAGATTCTAGGCCTCTGGGTCTCCGTCCAGAATCCGCCGCCGCCTTCTCCGCGAGAGCCTTCAACGTTGTCGCAGGCTCTGGGGGGGGAACATAAGGCAAGATGGAAGAGGCAATGGAAAAGGAGTTAAAAGCTCTGCAAGACCGAGAAACATGGAAACTGGTACCTGCAACGAGCATCAACGGAAAAACGTTCTCTCGGGGAATGGGTGTACCGCATCAAGACCAACTCAGACGGTTCCATCGAACGATTCAAAGCTCGATGGGTCGTACGAGGCTTCGACCAACGATACGGAGCCGACTACACAGAAACCTTCGCTCCAGTCTCCCGTCACACCCCATTACGCATCCTACTCGCCGTCGCGGCCACGAAAAAACTGCCACTACGCCAAATCGATGTCGCGAATGCATTCCTATACGCACCTGTGGACGCTGAGATCTTCGTCGAACAACCCCACGGATTCATCAACGATCCCACGAAAATATGCCGATTGACAAAATCCCTATACGGGATTAAGCAAGCCCCGCGGCTCTGGCAGCAGCATCTCCACGGCCGTCTCGCAAAGATCGGCTTCCTACAATTACCGCATGACCAAGGGATGTACCAACTACAGAAGGGAAGAGATTATGTTCTGCTCATCGTCTACGTCGACGACCTGCTCTACATCGGCTCCACTATCGACATCGCCACCTGGTTCGAAGGGGAGCTGAAAGAAGATTTAACTCTCACGGTGTCCGACGAAGTTACCCAGTACCTAGGACTGAACATCGTCGAAGACGACACGGCGTTCTACCTACACGCTGGAAAGTACTCAAGCACCGTCGCGAAGAAATTCGGTCTAGCACCGACTGCGGTCCCAACTTCCCTACCGCTACGGGAACAACAGTAGCGCCTCCACAAAACTCCCCGCGAAACAAATCCAGGAGTATCAACAGAGACTCGGCTGCCT